TCACAATTAAAAATTAATTAAAATAATAATTTAATCATTACTTATGATTAACAATTAAAGTGAATATAATCATTAATTGTTATTAAAGATTATTAAAAAAATTTAATCGTTAATCGCTGATTAATTTTTTACCCAACTCCTGAGTTTCCGAAAATATTTAAATAAAACGCATCCCGTGCGGAATTCATGAATGGATGTCAACGATTTGGCGCTAGTTTGGGCCCCAAAAACATATGAAGTCGATGGAAAGGGAAACGAGGAAATCTTCTCCAATTTTCTATCGGCTCAGAAGTGGAGAAAAATCGTCTGACATCAGTAAAGGACAGTTCGCTTACCGGGAAGAAGTTGTTCGACCTCCGATCGATACAGATCGTCTCCTAAGCATTGTCCGACAGTCGGAGAATAACATTGCGTTGAAGTTGAAGGGACAGTCTCTTCATAATCAATGCGCATCACGCATCACGAAAAAATCATGTAAATACGAACTATATAAAAAAATACTATATAAAACGAGATCTTTTCTTTATTTTCGTGAATTTTACAGATTAGTAAATGTTAGTAAATATGAAATAGTTCCAAAAATTATAAATACCTAATTTTTATTTAACAAATTTCAATATTATTGAGATGATTTTGAATACATACGACAGATTTTTAAGAATTTGTTGATTTTGATAAATGTTCATGTTGGATGATTTAGATAACAGTAAATATCAATACACAAATACCCGTATTGATTCTAGTCAAGAAATTCAGAATCACCGAGTGTCTTTCCCTATTAAAAAAAACGATCACATCATTGAAGAATGCAATTGAAGAATTTATAAAAACTAAATAAGCTTGGATTCTCCAAAAAAGATTTTCTTGAATTCAATATCTTGTCATGGTAACATGAATGATTTTTGTATTTATAGTAGAAAAGAAAAATTTATTTATGACAAATGTGATTAAATGTTTGTATTAAATGTTCCGCACTTTTCCCTTCTCTTTTGATTTGACTATAATCATTTCATCAATTCTTTTTTTGTAAAGTACATTCACATCATATATTTTTTTACAGAATTTTATATTTCCTTACATAGTTTTATAAAATAATATAATTATAATATTGTGCTAACTAATCATAGAAAGTAAATGAATATTTTGGAAACTATGTGATGAAATGATATTTTCTTCAAATATGTATATCTTGTTCATTCACAGAGAGATATATCTCTGCTCATTTATATTCATTCATTGGTTATCCTATATCAGACTTTTAATGAAGGCTATAATTATTGAACGTTGCTAGAACCATATTCTGGGATATATGACCTTAGAAATGAAACAACTTATTTACAGTCAATGGATTAAATAACGATTCAGTCAATAGCAATCAAGGGATTAAATAACGATTTGTAAATATTAATTTTAACAGACATGTAACATAAGTGGTTATCCTATATTTTATTATAATTAAGCTATAGATTTTTATGCATTTATAGGAAATTTAAAAATATATACAAGAATATATAAAATATATACAAGAATATATAAAATATCCAAAAGTGCTTTTCATAATTTTTGGCATGTAAAATAATTTTCTACCCAGGTCCTATTTTTTTCAATTATATTTTCAGAAATACAAAATCCACTAAATTTCAATAGTTGCTTTTATAAAATCATGTAACTCTATTACTTATGAGATAGTTATTATAACAATTTATAATACATGTTTAAAAATATATACATATGTATATTTATCAATATATTTAAAAAATAGTCAATGTATAAAACTTTCATATTTAATTTGAAACTGATCATGCATTTATTTACTGCGATGCGTAAAGAGATAGCTTTGATGATTACTAACAATAAGATACACATGTAATTCAAAACTAGTTTCCTTAACACTTCTTTATTGTTAGAAGATAACTTCAACTTATCAACTTCATAAAGATAATATATTTCGTGTAACACCATCGTTAAATCGATAATCACAAAAAGGAATTAATAGCAATTTGATTGTACCTTACAAGTTTAACCGAATCGATAGCAGCCAATCCTCGAGCTGAAGTACATCATTCTCGACGAACGTACAAATCGCGCGATACGACCGTTTTCCAATCAGTAAGCTCACTCATTGACGGTCTAATTAAACCTCTTCCCATCTACCGAAATTCTCTGCATTCCAGGTGTAATCGGTTTAATCATTTACGTGCTGCAGTATACGCTGCTTAATTCTAAGCGAATCCTTGAAGCTCTATGTACCCGGTGTGTACGCTCGTTGAATATAAATCTTTTACCCTTATTTATTATTTCATGAATATGCATTCCTTTTAGGACAGGCTAATGGACTGCTACGATATAGAAAAGTATAAAACGGTAGATGAACAGACTGAACATTGATCAGGCATTTGAAAAATTGGCCACTCGACATCATCTATGAATTGCGATTTTCTAATTAAATGCCTGCTAAACATTGCAATGTTTTCGTTTGAAAATTCGAAATTTTAATTTCGAAACTTTAACGTGATTTCCTCAATTTATTTGTGCAGATTTACAGCATAAAGAACTATTAAAAAAAGAATATTAAATGTTTCTTCTTATATTTAATAACTGATAATGCAATAAAAATTACATCAGAAAGAGGATAGAAAAAAGAAGCTGTCGTTAAAAAGAGATCTAATACATAGTAGGGACAGTAGAAATATAAGAAAATTTATTTCAGCAGGAGATGTTTATTAATTATTATTAATATTATTAATAATTATTTTTATAGTTTAAATTTTCACAAAATATTCTTGTCTCTATAAAAATAGATATAAATCAAAACAATATTTTTATATTTTACAGAAAAAATACGCATCATTTTCATAAAAATCACATAATATCCACTAAAAATAATACTAATGTATGTTTTTTAATTTAGTAACTCAATTTATTAACATTCTGATTAAAGATCAGTTAACAGACAAAAAATATTAAATAAAAATTATAGTACATTGTAATACAAATATAGTAACTTAAATATAAATACAATGTAACTTAAATATGGTAACTTAAATATAAATGCAAAAGTAGTAAAAATTTATTTTGAGAATCAAAATTTTGCCTACGACGTTTCGAATCTAAAAATCATTGAAAATTGTTGGGGATATTAATTAAAGAGGTATATTCAAAAGAAAAATAATTTAATGCTATTGAGGAATTAAAAATAGAAAAGAAATGGAAATGTATAAAACAAAGAACAATAAAAAATTGGTATAAATCTTTATCTCTTTAAAAGAGTGTTAAAAGTTACAAAAAATAAAAGTAAAAGTATAATAATAATAATATAAACAAAATAAAAATAGAGTTATGTATTAATTTTTTAATAATGCGTAATAAAATATGATGCATATTAATTTTGTTGCGGTACATTTTTAAATACAATTGTTATTTCAGTAAGTATTAAAATTTAAACGATGACTGCGTAAGTAACTAATTCTATATATATGTGTAGATAGAAAAAGTTATTTCTCATAACACAGACTTACATAATTTTACACAATATTTTGTAGTTTTATTGTAAAGTGTATAAATACATAGATGACTATGATAAAGAAATCTGTACACTTGTGAAATAAAATTTTTTTTGATCTATTTTTTTAACATGATTATAACTTTTGAACAATATAAAACTTTTTGTAAACAAATTTGTTTTTTATATTTAAAATATTAAGAAATACATGTAGACTAAAGCTTAACTTCGAGATAATATACAAACATAACTGGACGGATCTATAATATCAAAGTAATAACATTAATCCCATGTACGCGCCTGTTCTAGATATGCATATTTTTAAAAAAATTAAGACTCAATGCATTTTTTAACTTTTACATAAAAATATGAAGATAGTTATGTACATTTATAATTGCTTCTTTAGTATAACAGACATTTTAACTTTGTCAACTAGTATGCGGGCTGTCAACTAGTATCCGATAAGAATTAAGGCTTGAATATCTCTGTTATATTTGGAGATATAAAAAAACTTTATTAACAATAGTTGTCCAGTATCCAAAGAAAATATTATAATATAGTAGTAATTTTTTGTAGCTAATGAGAATTCAAAATCACGTTCATTTTTTGAAATAAAATAAATTAATACAGCTCGATATTCTCTATAAAAAAAAAGTTATGCGTATATCGAAAAATTATTATTTTAAGAAATATTTTAACTTTTATTTTATAAAATCTATTGCATAAAAAACAAAAATAATACAAGAATACTGTTCCTGTATTTCCTCGTCTTTCAAATGATAAATTTTCAAATGATAAATTAAAATATATCTCCTGAATTAATAATTTTTTGACATTATATATTATATATATTTAGGAGGTATTGACTAATGAATTCAAAAATGAAGTGATTCCATTTAAAAAAGTGGCTTTGAAATTTTCGAAACTCTACTAGTTACAAAAAAAATTACTACTATCACATTATAGCTTTTTCTATACTGAAAAACTTTTGTGGCTAAAGTTTTTTTATATTTCCGAAAACAACGCAGATATTCAAGTGCTAATTTTTATCATTCTATATATAGTGTTAGTTAAACATAAATATAGGAATATTGCTTTGTATACATAAATATAGGAATATTCCTTCCTTATCTTCCATGTGCGAAACAATAAGCTACAAATTTGAAATGTCTTAATATCGGGTCACATTGAAATCATCGACACAGAATTCTCCAACACTTGTTTTCACCGACAATATTTCATCGACTCCAGATTTGCCCAACAGTGACTTTGCCCGACAACAGTTTTTATCGACAATGACATTAGACAATTGCACATCACCACAGACCTTGTCTCAATTTGCGTTCGGCTATGGTTTTTATTGCAACTAGTATAAAATATAGAATATTATATTGCATAAAGTTATCATTTTATTTGAAATTTTACTGATTGTGATACTTCCGAGAGAAGAGATAACATTTGAAAAAAGATAACACTTTATCGATGCATTGATAATAGATAGCAGTACAGTTACAGTTGACAGTATATTAACTCGCTCGAATTCGTTGATATTCGTATATTATTATGGGAAATTTTTCGTCAACTGACCATATTCTTGATGAAGAAACAGTAGTTGCTTACGCGGAATTAACATATTTAAGAAAAAGTGAAATACAGTAGTGAGTAATTTGTAAAAATATATAGGTTTTGTTATTACATAGTGCAGTAATTTAAAAGTTTTATTATTGTAAAAGACTTTTAATAATTTTTTATTTAAATGTTTTTGTCTCTTTAATGTCTATAATTGTGATTACATATAGAATTATATACTAAGAATCATACATTAAAGTTATATTAATGTTTCAATATCACAATTTACATTAGTAATATTATTTAAAAAAAGAGAATTTAAACAAACATTTGATATTTTCATTAAAGTTTGTGTCTAAAATTCCAAATTCACTTCTTCAGCATTATTAAGTTACTTAACAATGTAAATCCGGGGAAACTTCGTGAAAATATTCAACATCGTTTCACCACTGATGAAATTGACAGTTTATTACCACAGATACAAGTAAGTTAATTGTTACTTTCTATTTATTAATTTTCTATTAAATTATTTAAAAAAGAATTATATCGTTATATCTTCCTGATTCATTACTACATTTATGAATTTTGTTCTAACTCTTATTATGAACTTTCATTATTGATAAGATAAGAAATGCATTACTTTGAATTACGTCTCTTTAATTATCAAATTAATATCTAATTCTGTTCAAAACCAGTTTTTCGCCTGTTCTGAAAAATATACATTTTCGTCGTGTCACTTTTTTTGCAAGAGCGCGGTACGCATTAGGTCATCACAAATGAAATGAATTGTTCATAAAACTTTTAATTTTCAATCATTTTGCATTTTTCTTGATTGTAATATTAATCGAATTATGACATTCTTTATTAGCTTTAAATTGATTATTAATAAATATTATTCGACAGTGCTTTTAGTTATTAAATTCTGAATAATTAAGGATTTTAGTCACTAAACTTAATCATTAAATCGGACATTTTATATATAACAATTTAACGGAACATAAACTTTGCATAACAGTATAAAAAAATAAAAAAAAAAATGGAAAAAAGATTTGAAGGAAATATTTATCTTTTTAATAATGAAATATTTTATAAATAATAGATTTCTTTATTTGAAATATTTTGACATTATGTCGAAAAAAGTTGAAGTTACTATTTTATAATATACACGTGAGTGGAATTCTTAACCACGAGTAAATACTGCCTTAAATAATACAATCTTTTCTTTTTTATAATATTTTCTTTGTTATAATGAACATACATATACACTAATAATAGCAATAAATTAATATATATGATATGTAAACTAATAGTAGCAATAAATTAATATATATGATATGTAAACTAATAATAGCAATAAATTAATATATATGATATGTAAAAATATTAATTTATTCTAGTGCAGTCCATTTCGTGATTCAATATTTCGAGTATTTTCTTCACAAAAAGACAATCGTTTAAGTTTGGAAGACATATTGGACTTATGCTCTGCTTTCTCTAAACATTGTCCCCACAACGTTCGTGCTGCTTGGGCATTTTACATTTTTGGTAAGACACTATTTATAATTTAAAACTTACATTTAAATTTTTGGTAAAAGTTCAAATACAATAATTTTAAGATAACCGTCTACGCAAAATATTTAATATATTTTTAACATTAATTTTATATTATTTTATATACTTATATATAATAATTATATAATATAATATATATATATATATATATATATATATATATATAATTTTATATTATTATATACGTATTAACCCGAGATTACGCACGTGGAAATCTAGTGCAGGTACACTACTTTTCTAGTTTCGTCTAGCTTCATGATGAGTTGTTTGCATTCAGCGTTTCAGTTTTCCTCTTCGACCTTTTTCATAGGTTTACGCAGTACTGTAAGTTTATTCGTACATTTTATTTTGCTTTTATTTCAGTGATTCTTCATTTTTGCTTTATAGAAGTTGTAGAAAATGTACGTCTAATTCATGTTTAGACAGTGACAAGTTACGGAAATTGAATTTTGAGAAGCATACAAATATGCATAAACGTCAAGTACGTCAAGTTCTGCAAGATGTGTGCTCAGAAGATGAAATTATTGACGATGACAATTCGGATTCAGAATCTGATAACTGTGAAGATTCAGATCATAATACTGCATCTGCTATGTCTGATATGTCAGTATCAAGTGACGATGAGGATTATGTCAACTATTATATAGGAAGGGATAAAATAACTAAGTGGCGTATGGAGCCAAGAAAGGGGAGAGTAAGAATATGCAGATTAAACACGGTACCTGAATTATTAGGAGTAAACAAACATAAAGCAAAAAAGTGCAAAACGCCATTAGAATGTTTTTCAATATTCATCGATGATAATATAATTAGAATAATTACGGAATGCACAAATATAAAAATAGATTTATATTCGTCGAACAAGAAACATGCATATAGAACGGATGAAACGGAAATAAAAGCTCTAATAGGTCTTTTACTTTTAGCCGGTTCTATTCGATCAGGACATCAAAATATAAGAGATTTATGGGATACGAAAGCGTTGGGAGTTGACATATTTCGCACTACTATGAGTTACCACCGTTTTTCACTTTTACTGACTTGTCTTCGATTCGATGATGTAACAACAAGACATCATCGAAGGAAGTTAGACAAACTTGCAGCTATTAGAGATGTATTCGATATATTCCTTACTAATTGCCAAGAAAGTTATTTACTTTCAGAATATTGCACAATAGATGAGCAACTTGTGCCATTTCGTGGTAGATGTTCATTTAGACAATACATCCCGAATAAGCCTGCAAAATATGGAATCAAAATATTTACTCTAGCAGATGCAAATTCAAGGTACACATTTTCAATGGAGATATATGTAGGTATCCAGCCTGAAGGACGATACAAAGTTTCAAATAAAGTTTTGGATGTAGTGATGCGATTAGTGCAGCATATTGAAGGATCAGGAAGAAATGTAACTGGCGATAACTGGTTTTCAAGTATTCCTCTTGCAAAATGTCTACTAGACAAAAAACTGTCATATGTTGGTACAATACGGAAAAACAAAAAAGAGCTACCGAAAGAATTCGTTACAACAAAAAATCGAGAACCCAAATCATCCATTTTCGGTTTCCAGGACGAAGCAACAATAGTTTCATATATTCCAAAGAAAAATAGAAATGTATTACTTATTTCAACACTTCACGTAGAAGATAATTCAATTAGTATATCGAATGGAACAGAACAAAAACCACAAATCATATCATTCTACAATAACACAAAAGTGGGGGTTGATACTGTCGATGAACTTTGCGGAACATATTCAACATCAAGAAAAAGTAATCGTTGGCCTCTTGTAATATTTTTTAGAATATTAGATATTGCAGGTATCAATAGCCAAACTATTTACAATAATAATAAGCCTAGAGCAAATTTAAAAAGAAACAAATACTTGCAAAAGATAGGAATGGCACTAGTTTTAGAAAAATTGCGAAAACGATCATGTGATTTTCGCATCCCAAGAGAAATTCGAAGCAAAGCAGCTAAATATTCTGGAATTGATGATCCGGAGTCTTTTAAAACTTATGAAACTGGCCAGTCAGAAAAAAAATCAAGATGCACCATTTGTCCAAGAAGAAATGACATAAAAACGAAGTTCTATTGTTGCAGATGTTGCAAGAAAATGTGTCTAAAACACATGAAAAATATTTGTGAAACGTGCTTACAAAAGGATATGGAATATGAAACCGACGAATACTCAGATAATTAGGTTGTAAGTTTTTTCATCATCAACTACATTGTTCTATATTTTATATTGTGTATATTTATGTATATTCTATTACTATATTTGTTTGTGTTATTAGATTCAAATTATATTGGATTATATTTGTTTGTATTTATGTTTGCATATATATTCTATATTATACATATAATAAACAAAAATATACGTATTTATATATTTGTACTTATGCAACTTATGACTCACACAAGTAGAGAAAATTTCTTTTAAACACATATCGTTTCAATTTCAATAAAAAAATATGAAATATTCAAATTGTCGTATATTGTAACCAGTAAATATTACTTTTCACTGGAGGTTCATGAGCACCTCACGTGGGTACTTCAGATATTAGACCCCTACGTGTACCTGCACTAGACTCACGTGGATAATCCCAGGTTAAATAGCATTATTTATGTAAACAAAAAAATTTTATAATCGTATTAAGTAGTATTACAAGATATTTTAAATGTTTGTTTCAAAAATAACGTTCTTAATAAATAATGACATAATCAAAAGTAGTATTTTCAATTTGCTGTTTATTATGTAAACAAATACTGCTTATAAATTCCAAGAAAGAAAGAAAAATAATTCCCGTCACTTCTCTAAATGAAATTAGACATAAATATTCATATGTTAATTACAAAAAGATATTCATATATTTATTACAAATAAGACATAAATATTCATACATTTATTAAATAAGAGAATACTTGTGTATTTATTTATTTTCCAAAATTAAACAGTTATAAAATAAAGTGAATAAAAGGAGATGAAATAAAAAGTATCGATGTATAAAATAAAACAACGAGATGTAATAAAATAATTTTATATTTAAAATAATGAATAAATTAATTAAATCGCTACCAATAGAGAAAAGAATTTTTAATGTTATTATAGAAAAGAATTTATTTATATACTTATCTATATATGAATCTATTAAATATTTAAAATTAATTAATTAAGTTTAAATTAATTTAAAATAAAAGTAAATAAATAGAAAGAGCTAAAAGACGTTAATCTCTTACTACTTATTTACTATTGAATTTGATACATCTATCACATCTATCGCGAAATTACAATAATTTTTATCCAGGACTGCAATTTATGAAAAAGACCTATAGACCTATAGACCTATTAACTATAATCTCTGTAATCTCTCTACATATTTAAATTGATTATTGATTTTATAAATCAATTATTAAGCTCTTTTTCAACTGGTTATTATTATTACACTTTTTTATATATGCAATATATATGTGTTAAAAAAATTTTCAGAATTCCAGTTTGCGAAAATTAATCTTGATTTTACTTTTTATAATTAAATTCTAAAATTATAATAGAGATTCGGTCTAAAAATTTAATCATATTCTTTATTAAAATAACTAATAAAAAATAATTGTTTACATAATTTAATAAGAATGTTAAAAACTTAATATTGTTATTTTTTAAATAACGTTAAAACATGTTTTCAAGAATTATCAATATTGTGACTTTTTTTAATAACTTTTTTTAATTTCGATTTATGAACGTTTTCTGTTTTCAACATATGCAATAATTCAAGTACCGATTTAGATAATATCTCTAACAATTATTTATTAAAGCACTTAAAAATCTCTTTAATATTTATAACGCTACATGACTGAACAACTCTTTTTTGAATAGATGGCATAATAATTCCCATTCTGGAATCTGAGAAAAAAAATTACAGACCATTTCAATTATTTATTGTATGTATAAAATTTTATAGAAAATGATTAATAAAAGATTGAGATAATTCTTAATAATTAGAAAGTAGCAACATTCTTCATGTTCATCAAAATCACTCAACTGTGGATAATCTCCAATTTACACTGGAAACTAAGATGTTTTAATTTTTAATTACTGTCAGCTTGACATTGAAAAAGTATTTGATATAGCTATGGGAGAATAAAACTATCTGAATCTTAATAAAACTGGATGTCTGTGATAATATGCTTAATTCATAAAAAACTTCATTACAAAATTAATAATTTCTAATAAAACGTTAATACGAACGAACTCCTATAAAAATCATTATTGTCAAATTATTTCATTACAATTAATAGCTGTTGGCTACAGCATCAAAATTACAGTTCATACTGTAAGTGACTGTGAGTGAATGTTAATTAATATGTTTAATAACGTATATAATAACTATCACTTATGAATTCACTTTCTCTCCGATCAATATCACTTCTCATCTCAGACTAGCAATGAATATTCTACTGTTCGCTTCTGAACAAAAAACGCATCACGCAACACACTCGCAATTGTCCCACAATTGTCTCACTCACGCCTTCGCTCGACTTTCACGCATCTTCACACATACAACATAAAATCAAATCCACACTCTTCCCCCTTGGTTTTATTCATTATTCGATACATATAAAATTCTTTACAATATTCAGTAATGTGAGTCCATTCAACGCTTTCGTTAGACAATCAGCCAACATTTTTTCTTTTTGAAACATGCATCACTTTTATCGAATAATATTTTACATTCTCTTTAATGAAATGACATTTCCTATTCAACAACTTTGTTCTCGTTTTAAAATTACCGCCATTTGCTAATTTTACTGCATTTAAATTATCACATTTTAATTCTTTATATGTATCATCACACATACCTATTTCGGTCAATATCTCATTCATTCAAATCAATTCTTTCATCCCGTCTAACATCGAATCTAGCTCACTTTCGGTTGTTGACAAAGCAACTGTTTCCTGTTTTTTACATCTCCAATGTATCAGATCTCCGTTTCTGTATAAGAGTAGTTCGCTAAATGATTTTGTGTCTTTGGTACTGTCCCATCCGTCTCGCATTTTATTCCTTTATCGAACTCGTTTTTCCATATTGTATCCTATAATATTATATTAATTGTTCTTTTTAAATATCTTAAAATTCGTTTTAATGCACCCAAATGCATCATTTTTGAAGATTTGCTAAATTGCGACAAACAACTAAGTGCATATGCTATATCTGGTCTCGTAGCGACGCTCAAGTACATTAATCGTCCTAGCAGCTCCTGATAAATTTTTTTCATCACATATTTGGCCCTCTTCTTCTTCGTTAAATTTTTGATTAGTATCCATTGGAGCATTTACTTCATTACAGTCAGTCATTCCGTATAAACTTAATAGATCTTTTATATAACCTCCTTGACTGATGAATATTTTTCCACCCTTTTGTTCCAGTTCCATTCCAAGAACACGTTTAGCCTCGCCCAGTTATTTTAGTTCAATAAATTTCTTCAATTCTCTCATATATTTCTTTTCGAACGAGTCCGTGCTATTTATCACAACCATATCATCCACGTGTACTCCGCAATACAAAAAATGTTTCCCTTCATTAACATAAAACAAACATGGATCAACTGTGCAATCCAATTTTTAACCTTTTCACTGCGGCATACTTTCGGAGCGAACTATCAGTACGGACGGCGCGATATTCTATTGTTAAGCGTTGCGACTGATTGTCTACTACTAACCAAAACAGTGTCTGGAGATTTGATACTATTCTTAGAGGTTGAAAAAATACATAATTGCAAATAAGTTAAAAATATCCAGTATCTGATCTATTTTAAGTGGTTTTCTAAGCTATTTTTAATTTACTTAATTTGCACATTCCTTCAATAATAATTCGTGAAAAAAATGCAAAATTGATAGTGAAGAACAAATTTATTTTGACAATTTTAACACAATGAGAACAAAGATAATATAAACTAATAAAGATAGTAGAAACAATTTAATAATTAATTTATGTGTGATATATTCTGAAGCATGGATCAACGCATAAACCTTCGCATTCTTTGCATTGATATCTACTTTTCCGTCGGATTTTATGTTTAGTACATACCACACACTTTCGCGCTTGATTTTTTCTTTCCGCAACCGGATTAAAATATTTAATTGGAAATGCCTTTCAATAAGACGTAATAGATTATCAGTATTCCTTTTCCCTTGATATATATTTGAAGTTTGTAGATATTTTCCAAATATTTGTTGGATCAATTTTAAATGAAATTCCGTGAAAGGTAATTCTTTACTTGATACATATTTATACAAAACATATGAGTTCCAAATACTTACATCTAATAAATGAGAAAAAAATTTTTTGTACCACTTATAACTTTTTCTTATTGATTCAAGGGTACTAATGACCATATCAGTCTTATCGACAATTCCCATGAAACGATTATATTCTTGAACACATGTCGGTTTTTGTGTCGGCAATTTTGTTCGGTACCTTCTGTGTGTCTACCATATCAGTGTAATGCAAACTGGTCAATATCCAGATTTCTCTCTTATCCTGCCATTTTATGCATAGTAGAGATTCTGTGAAGACAATTCTGAACAACAATGAAGACTGCACAATGTGAAGACAATTGACTGAACAGTATTGAAACAAATGCCGGTAGACAGTTGCTATGTTACATAGGTCGATAAATACCATATTGAAGCAATTGGTAAAACAGTTTTACAGTAAGAAAACCGTAAAGGGCGTATATTTACAGCGTATATATTGATAGACGTGTGAGAGCGTATAGATACGCCTTTAGCAGTGAAAAGGTTTTAACAGAGTATCAGTTAAATACGCATTTCAGCAACAACTCGCTTGTTTTAATCCATAAATACTTCTTTATAATTTACACACTTGTCCAGAATTATTTCCAAAACCATCAGATACTTCCATGTAGATTTTTTCGTCCAACAGTCCGTGTAAGAAAGCCGTTTTTACATCATATACTTTTAGTTTCTGTTTATGCTCAGCACATAAACTGAATAATAACCTTACCGTCTCCATTCGATTCGCAGGCAAAAATGTCTCTTCATAATCGAAACCGGGCCTCTGAGCACATCCCAAAACCACCAGTCGTGCCTTGTATGTTTTTTTCAACCTAATAGGATCAATGTTTTAGAGAAAATCCATTTGCATCTTATTACCTTTTTTTCTCTTGAACGATTGACCAAATCTCAAACTTAATGATGCCATTTCGTTATTCATCGCCTTTTTCCAATGTGCCCATTCAAATGATCGTTTTGCATCCGTTACATTCCCA